TTGTCTAAAGGCAAAGAAAGATGCCCAACGGATTTACTTTACCAAATTGACCATCCCAGCCTTGCCATAATGGTCCATTTGATTCACCTTTTATTGTTTATTTTATTTTCACTTACTGAATATGGGACAGACTTTACTGGGGGAAAGAAGGGGAGAAAGAAAGAGGGAAAGAGAAACAGCTGAGAAGAGGGACGGGGGAGAAGGGCAAAAACCAAAAACCAACAGAGTGAGCAGAAAAAGAAGTCATTCTAACTACCAGAAACCTCGAAGCACAGGCCGAGGGGGCGGTGTGGCAGCAATTTTTCACACCAGCCTATTAATCAACCAAAGACCAAGACAGACTTTTAATTCATTTGAAAGCCTGATGCTTAACATTGTCCACCCCAGCTGTGAAACTCAGAAACCAGTCTTACTTGTTATCATCTATCGTCCACCTGGGCCTTACACAGAGTTTCTGTCTGATTTCTCAGACTTTATATCTAATTTAGTTCTGAGCTCAGATAAAATAATTATTGTGGGTGATTTTAACATCCATGTAGATGCTAAAAATGACAGCCTCAACATGGCATTTAATCTGTTATTAGACTCAATTGGCTTCTCTCAAAATGTAAAAGAACCCACCCACCACTTTAATCACACTCTAGATCTTGTTTTAACATATGGCATAGAAACTGAACATTTAACAGTGTTTCCTGAAAACCCTCTCCTGTCTGATCATTTCCTGATAACATTTACATTTACAATAATTGATTACACAGCAGTGGAGAGTAGACTTTATCAAAGTAGATGTCTTTCTGAAAGCGCTGTAACTAAGTTTAAGAATATAATCCACCCACTGTTATCATCTTCAATGCCCTGTACCAACACAGAGCAGAGCAGCTATCTGAACGCTACCCCAACAGAGGTCGATTATCTTGTTAATAATTTCACCTCCTCACTACGTACGACTCTGGATACTGTAGCTCCTGTGAAAACTAAGGTCTCTAATCAGAAGTACCTGACTCCGTGGTATAATTCTCAAACACGTACCCTAAAGCAGATGACTCGTAATCTGGAGAGGAAATGGCGTGTCACAAATTTAGAGGATCATCATTTAGCCTGGAGAAATAGTTTGCTGCTTTATAAGAAAGCCCTCCGCAAAGCCAGAACATCTTACTATTCATCACTGATTGAAGAAAATAAGAACAACCCCAGGTTTCTCTTCAGCACTGTAGCCAGGCTGACAAAAAGTCAGAGCTCTGTTGAGCCAACCATCCCTTTAACGTTAACTAGTAATGACTTCATGAACTTCTTCACAAATAAAATTTTTATCATTAGAGAAAAAATTACCAGTAATCATCCCACAGATGTAATATTATCTACAGCTACTCTTAGTACCATTGATGTTAAGTTAGACTCTTTTTCTCCAATTGATCTTTCTGAGTTAACTTCAATAATTACTTCCTCCAAACCATCAACCTGTCTTTTAGACCCCATTCCTACAAAACTGCTCAAAGAAGTCCTGCCATTAATTAATTCTTCGATCTTAAATATGATCAACCTATCTCTAATAATCAGCTATGTACCACAGGCCTTCAAGCTGGCTGTAGTTAAACCTTTACTCAAAAAGCATCTCTAGACCCAGCAGTCTTAGCTAATTATAGGCCAATCTCCAACCTTCCTTTCATATCAAACATCCTTGAAAGAGTAGTTGTCAAACAGCTAACAGATCATCTGCAGAGGAATGGTTTATTTGAAGAGTTTCAGTCAGGTTTCAGAGCTCAGCACAGCACAGAAACAGCTTTAGTGAAGGTTACAAATGATCTTCTTATGGCCTCTGACAGTGGACTCATCTCTGTGCTTGTCCTGCTAGACCTTAGTGCAGCATTCGATACTGTCGACCATAATATCCTATTAGAGCGATTAGAACATGCTGTAGGTATTACAGGTACTGCACTGCAGTGGTTTGTATCATATCTATCTAATAGACTCCAGTTTGTGCATGTAAATGGAGAGTCCTCTTCACACACTGAGGTTAATTATGGAGTTCCACAGGGTTCAGTGATAGGAGGTTATTGTACTCGGCCCTGAAAATCTTAGAAATATGGTCTCTAACCAGATTCTTACTCTGGATGGCATTACCTTGGCCTCCAGTAACACTGTGAGGAACCTTGGAGTCATTTTTGACCAGGACATGTCCTTCAATGCACATATTAAACAAATATGTAAGACTGCTTTCTTCCATTTGTGCAACATCTCTAAAGTTAGAAATATCCTGTCTCAGAGTGACGCTGAAAAACTAGTTCATGCATTTATTACTTCCAGGCTGGACGACTGTAATTCATTATTATCAGGATGTCCTAAAAACTCCCTGAAAAGCCTTCAGCTAATCCAAAATGCTGCAGCAAGAGTCCTGACAGGGACTAGAAAGAGAGAGCAGATTTCTCCTGTTTTGGCTTCCTGTTAAATCCAGAATTCAAAATCCTGCTCCTCACATACAAGGTCTTAAATAATCAGGCCCCATCTTATCTTAATGACCTTGTAGTACCATATCACCCTATTAGAGCACTTCGCTCTCGCTCTGCAGGCCTACTTGTTGTTCCTAGAGTATTTAAAAGTAGAATGGGAGGGAGAGCCTTCAGTTTTCAGGCCCCTCTTCTGTGGAACCAGCTTCCAGTTTGGATTCAGGAGACAGACACTATCTCTACTTTTAAGATTAGGCTTAAAACTTTCCTTTTTGCTAAAGCATATAGTTAGGGCTGGACCAGGTGACCCTGAATCCTCCCTTAGTTATGCTGCAATAGGCATAGGCTGCTGGGGGATTCCCATGATGCACTTGGTGTTGTGGTTTAGTGATATATAAAACAAAATTGAATTTACTTCCTTTGCTGTTATAGTTTCATTTCATAGTCTCATTATATACATTATTTCCAACTTTCATTTTCCTTATGCTTCTTCATAAATACAACTTTTGGATCTAATGGAATTAGTATTATTATTAGGATTAGATATAGACGGTGTTGGGGAGTAACGGAATACATGTACCGCCGTTACGTATTTAAAATACAAAATATGAGTAACTGTATTCCGTTACAGTTACCGTTTAAAAAGGTGGTATTTAGAATACAGTTACTTTGTTGAAATAAATGGATTACACGGCGGTACTTTCCTGTTTCATATTGTGGCGGGTCAGGACTGTTTGGGTTTTGTTTGACAGCTATTCTGTTGTTCCAGGCGGCAGCGTTACGGTTGCCATGGTTACAGGGTGACGCACTCTCTCTGCGACTGTGTAGCTGTGTCCCAAAACTTCGGCTGCATCCTCCGGAGGCTGCATTTGAAGGCCGATTACGTCACAGCCAGGCGACGAAGGCTGTCTGAATTCGACGACTCCTTCAAATTCGGCTAACAAATGCGTCCTTCATTTCCCCGAATTTGAAGGATGGGTCGGGTGTGTCCTTCGTGGCCCACCATATCCCAGAATTCATAGCGTGGCCCAACCAGTTTCAGTTTCCCAACAATAGTGGCCACTACTAAGTTTTAAAATTACTCTTATTAATCTTTCTGGGTCACAAAATAAACTTTTAACAGGAATGATTGTTTCTCATTCATCAATATTATTCCAACAGCTTCAGTGGTGGACACAAACTACATGACAGATGTACAACAACATAATTATTGGTCCCAATCAAAACTTCACGTCTTCTTAGTTGGAAACAGTTCCAGTTCCAACCAGTGTTGGAAATTTTAAACAGGATTCATTTTGAAAACTTTAAAATTTTTCAACTTATGTAAAAAATCTACCCTCTACAGCTCTTAAATAAATTTTACAGTAATAAACAAATGTTTTGGACTACTTTACTTATATTTACAGGAAGATTTGTTAGTCATCACCTTTTTCTTTTTTTCAGAGTGACTGATTTGTTGTTTTTTTGGTTGATTAATGCATTTTCTTTTACAGGAGGAGGGGATTCTTCTCAAAGATAACTAAACGGATTCGTGGCGAACAGAGCCCACGCAGTGGTCATTTTGAAATCCTGAGACCAGATGGAACTGTGATCCCAGTAAATTCAGAAGATCAGAACTGCCTCTTCCACGCTGTTGCTCAGGCCACCTGCAAAAATCCAGGTGATGTAGGAAAAGAGGCACAGATCCTTCGGGGGGAGGTCAGAAACACAGTAAGTCTTTATTGCTGAGTTAAAGTATTACTGTTAGTATTAATATGGTGTCTGTGTTCTCTTTTTCCTCAATTTAATGACCAAGAATCGCCCAAACAGAAGGATCTGATCATAGCGTGAAGCACAGTCGGCAAGAAACTCTGAACAGCAAACCGAGGGCGAGTGGCCCATCTCAGTTCAAAGCTGGTGTGGGGAGTCGATGGGGATAGCTGCTTAAAGTCAAAATGTGTCTTAAAAACAACAGCTAGTCCTCCTCCACGACCAGAGACTCTCGAAACATTAAGAAAGGCACAGCCAGCCGGCAGCAGCTCAGTGAAGGCATTTTACTCGCCGGATGGATCGAAGTTTCAGTCAGAAAAAGAAAAGTCCAGCACATGGGAAGTGAAAAATTCTTTCAAAATGAAGGTCTTATTTGCCACAGATCTGCCATTAATTAAACATAACCTGAGGCGAAATGGGTCGGAAACTTCCGAAGCAGCGGCATCCAGATCCACCGGTCGAAGGTTAGTCTGCTCCACTCCGCGCCAACGCAGATGCTGAAAAGAAGGGGATTTTGCAGGACTCCTCTCGAAAGTTCCAACAACAGGAACCAGTCAAGGGTCCACCGGGTACAAGGCACGCATTGGCACCAAGAGTCACGGACAAGATCAACGAATGGAGCGGAGCTCATGTGGAAAATGAGAAATCCAAATCCTCAGCTTGACGAGGTGGCCACTACGGTTACCCCGTCTCCTGCGTCGCTTCCGCGATTCTGGTGGCAGTGATAAGGAGTGCCAGTGCAGTGGTGTTACTTCCAGATAGGGAGGCAGAAAGCCTTCGTTGTTTTTTCCAGGCCAATTTAAGATCTGCGTGAATAAACCTATTTCCAATAATGTCTGGGGATCATAAGACAATGTTGGGCTGACACTTTGCACAAAGTTATTCAAGGATTTAAAAAAAACAAATAAAACAGAGGAATAGATGGCTTGCCAAACACAGGAGCCATCACTTCCTTAAAAAAAAAAACAGTACAGTACAGAGTGAAACAAGACAACATTCCTCTGAGACCGTGATGCTACATGTGAGATATAACAGACAAACACAGGACTACAGAAAGTGCAATGTGCAAAAACTGTAAAAAAAACAAAACAAGACAAGACAGTGCAACACTAGACAAAACAGGACGATATAGACACAAGACAGTGCAAAGGAAATGTGCAAAAATACTGAGTATTGTGCAAAAGTAACTTGGTGTGTGTGTGTGTGTGTGTGTGTGTGAGAGAATCTGCAGATAAGTGCTTGGTAGTGATGCGTATGAAGGTGTGCGTGTGTGTGTGTCTGTGTGTGTCAGTCCACTCATTGAGTGCTCAGGAGTTTGATGGCTTGGGGGAAGAAACTGCTCCACAGTCTGGTAGTGAAGGCCGGGGTACCTCTTTCCAGAAGGCAGCAGAGTGTGTGTGAGGAGTGTGTGGGGTCCTCTACAACGTATTCAGATGAAGTCAAAATCAAGCCCTTTGGCGTTAGTGATGTTTTATTTAGTGAACTAACTGACTCTAAAAGCCAATTCTTTGTAGCTAACAATAAGAGTTCAAGCCGTTTATTCTTGTACATCCACGCCGTAGCGGCCCAATTCTTCACCCCAGTGAAGAGGTGATCGTTTTCTCCTCGTTTTAATAAATTAAGCCGTTTGGTCTTTGTTCCCCACAACATATCACCAATTCAAAAAAATCTAAATTAGCTGTATGTAAGCGGCATTACATGAAAAACCGCGGGACCCGCGATACAAGCTGGTTTACGGTTATTTAAATAAAAGGAACATGTCTCTGCAGATGCCTAAAGCTTTGATTGATTGATTGATATACCTTTATTAGTCTCACAAGGGGAAATTCATGCTTAACAACACAACCGCTATAACAATTTAACTTTTGTACAACCAGATTTTCATATACTTACATTTGAAAGTGTTTTCCTCTCCTGCTTCGACCACCATCGTTATCAGAAACAAATCTCCTCTATGACCCGCAATGAATCCTGGGATATAGTAGGACACGAAGGATACATCGGACCCATCCTTAAAATTTGGGGCAAAGTAGGACGCATTTGTCGCCACATTTTGAGTACTCTTTGAATTCAGACAGCCCTCGTCGTGTCTCTGTGACGTCATTGCATCCAAATATGGCATTGAAGCATCCTTCCTCTGAATTCGGACACAGCCTGGGTCTCAGCTGCCTTTGCCCTGGGAACCAGGACAGATGCATGAGAAGGCTCTGGGGTGGTCACGAGTGAAAAAGTAAAAGCCGCTGGGTTTACAAGCTCAGGAGCAGATTTAACAGACTCCTCAGTAACTTGCTTGGCTTTTGTACAAACCAGAGGTGGTGCACAATGATCTGGTTTAGCTTGTTCAAATGGGAAAACACTAGGGCCAGTCTCACCCTTTATGGCTGGCTAGTGCAACACTAAGTCACTGATTGCATATGCAAGTAAACACAAGGTTTCTTTTTCTCAGAAATTGCAAACTGGGAAACTCTAACTCATCTTGAGCCGTCTTGGACTCATCAAACACGATCTCTGTGGCCGCCTCTACAGGCTTAGCCCACCCTGAATTGGCCTCTGGAGGCCTGTGCGATTATGGACCCAATCAGTGTTTTACCTTTTTACAGGAGGTGTAGCCTTTGTGTTATTCAGAGTCTGCACAGGAGATAGGAAGCAATTAGGTAACTCATCTTATGTCATGTTTTATATCCACTCAGCTTCAGCAAAACCTACCCAAATACGCAGGAGTTCTGAAGCTGCAGAAAGGATATGAAGAAACCTTTAACTCTCCTGGAAGATATTACATATGTGGAGGAGATCGAAAGGCGCGAAGAAAAGCCGTAGACGATTTCAACGCCATCTTGGGCGACATGAGCAAGAAAGGTTTGAGTCCAGAGGAATTACGAGATATCGAAGAACGACGTCTGGGTTTGGTTGGAGCGCATGCTGAGTAAGTATTTAATGTGTGACCACGACGACCAGCAGATTGAACTTCACGTGTAACACACATTAAATCGTATTCTGAATGTGTTTCTTGCCAACAGTGTGTACAAGATCCGGGTGCAAACCTCAAACCAAAGAGAATGTGGTGAAAACAGGTTGGCGGTGGAAGCCGACCACGTCCCACCTAGATGTGTCTTTCAGAATGCCCTTAAAACGTTGCAGGACCCTGAGAACGTAAAGTTAAGAGAGGACCTGAAAAACAAAAGCCCCAACCTCTTTGCTCTGTTGGATAAAAACGGAGACCGCGGGCTGTGCAGAGAGGTTCTGAAGCCGCACCATGAGGCAGGCCTGACCTGGCGCAACAGAAAAGAGTCTCGTATAATCAGGTGAGAACAAATCTGTTCGTCCTGGAGCTAAACTCAGAGTTTTCTTTGGATAGCTAACGTGCTTCTGTTCCAGCGAGAAGCTTGAGGAGACTCTTATTTCTGGAGACGGGGAAAAACTGGTGAAGATGTCGCTGCTGGCAGCCAATCCAGTCACATCCAATTCTCTCAGAGAGGATGCAGGTAGGCTACAAACAAGCCTGTAGAGATAGAAGTACTATGTGCTGTTACCAGGTTACTGATGAGACAATGAGCAAAGATGTTCGTCACCATAGAAACGACACAAAGAAACATCTGTCCGCAAAAATGATGAAACAGTCTTTCAGCAGTTTAATGCACAGAGTCAGAGTGCTGGTTACACTGGTTTCACAGCCACACACAGGTTAATTATTAGTACAGGAACACGTGAAGCACCAACGATCACATTAATGAGTCCTCGCCTCAGTGGTCACAGTAACAGATATAGTGCGATGCTGTCAGAGACACCGTTTCCTGTTCAGTGAGTAAACCCCGCCTCTCCCTGCTCGCTGTGTGAACTCTGCAGGAATCCTCCCGCTGAACATCTCAAATATGTCCAGAGACGCAACGAAGCGCTACCACGATGCTGGAGACAAGCTGCTGGTGGAAGGTTACTACAAGAAAGGAGTCCTGAACAAGGAGGAGAGGCACAGCATCATGGGCTGGCTGAAGAGCGGAAACCTGTACTCAAAGAACACGTCAGAGTACAAAGAGATGTGCCGCGAGCTGAGAGCCAAGATACAGAAACACAACAACAACAGTGGAAGATAACAACAGCGCCTGTGAGAGACGTGTGTGTGTTCAACTGAACGTATCAGATCATTTATCATTTATATATCTTGTTTTCTCTCTGACCGTTTCATCATCATCCTCTTTTCCTCTTTTATGAGAAAACAAAGGAGGAAGAGTTTCTCTGAAAGATTTCAATCCGAGAAGCAGCTCAGAGACAGATGTGTAATCACAGGAGCTGTTGTGTGTTCTGTGTGTAACACACGGCAGTGATGTGTAATCACAGGAGCTGTTGTGTGTTCTGTGTGTAGCGCCTGTCACAGGGACCTGCCTCTGCTTACAGCACAACATATGAATCATGACATGACTTGTGTAAATGAACCACAACACAACTACACCTCACTGATTCCACGTCAGAAAACAAAGTGTGTGTGTGAGGTCACACTGGTGTTTGGGGTCAGAGGTCACACTGGTGTTTGGGGTCAGAGGTCACACTGGTGATCATCTTGCTAAGTTCACCCGGTTTTTTGCTCCCACCATAAAAATGAAGAAATAAAGTTGTGTGTAAAACTCTGTCTTATTAATGATTTACACACACACACACACACACACACACACACACACACTTAACTGTTAACTGGGAAAGACTTCACCTGCCGCCTGCTGGTGATGGTCAGAGGGGCCGATGGCGTGATAGGCCGGCCTCGCCTCCGTCAGTCTGGCCCAGCTGTGGCTGTAGCTGCCTCCACCAGTGTGAATGTGAGAGTGAATGAATAGTGGAATTGTAAAGCGCTTTGAGGGTCTCGAAAAGCGCTATATAAATGCAATTATTATTAACTGCCGTATTACAGACTTTCAGACTCAGTTTGTCAAAGTCAAATGTTTTTATTTAGCACATTTAAAACAACAACCACTGACTAAGGTGCTGTACAATGAAGATAATAGAAATAAAAACATAGGGAGAGATGATAAGAGTTAAGAAAAAGAATCATAAAATTAGATAATTTGAGTAAGAAATAAGACAAAAGTGATAGAAACTCATTCTGACTTAAAAGCCAAGGAATAAAAGTGGGTTTTCATACTTGTTTTGAAAGTGTCCAAAGTTGGGAGGTGCTGGTGTGAAGGGGCGGTCCCAGCAAAGGCCCGATCTTTGGTCCGCTGACCTCAGCGATCTTGCAGGAGTGTCCAGTTTAAAAGATCAGAAATGTATGAGGGTGCTAACCCGTGCAATGCCTTCAAAACAAATAATAAAATCTTAAAATTAATTCTAAAACTAACTGGCAGCCACTGTGATGAGAGTTAGTAACCGTGCTGCAGCGTTTTGGACCAGCTGACGGCCGACAGACTAACACCAGAGTAAAGACTATTACAGTGGTCGAGGCAGATGAAATGAAGGCACTGATATCTCTCTCAGAGCCTCTAAAAACAGAGAAATGGCTTCACTTTAGCAAGTAGCTGAAGATGAAAGAAACTGGACTTGATTACAGCATTAATCTGTTTATCAAATGTTAGGTTAGAGTCAAAAATCACTCCTAGGTTCCTCGCAAAGGGTTTTTTATTCATTTCTAAAGGGCCAAAGTCGCAGTGGTCACAGGGACCAAACATACTCACCTCTGCTTTCTGTTCCTTTAGGTGAAGGAAGTTTAAAGCCATCCATGGCTTAACATCATCCAAACAATCTAGCAACGCCTTCAGAGGACTCACAGATTTACGTTTCAGTGGCAGGTAAGTCTGTGAGTCGTCTGCATAACAATGAGATGCCATGTTTTTAAAAATTGAATCCATAGGGAGTATGTAAATAGAAAAGAGAACTGGACCAAGAATGGACCCCTGGGAGACCCCACAGACAGGGAGGCTTTTGAGGATGATGCATCCCCCAATCCAACAGAAGAACTTTGGTTGGACAGGTCAGATTTAAACCACGACTCAGCGCTCAAGCCGAGAGATAAGAATCCCATGATGGTATCAAAGGCAGCACGGAGGTCTAATAGTATGACAATGGCAGAATCTCCCAAGTCAGTAAAAGTCAAAAGGTCATTAGAAACTTTTAAAAGAGTAGTTTTAGTGCTGTGGTGCATTTTAAAACCAGACTGAATTACTAGCGCCATTTTTATCTAGAAAGGTCTGGAGCTGAAGAAGGACAACTTTCTCACGGACTTTAGAAAGAAAAGGCAATTTAGAAACTGGTCTGTAGTTGGATTCAACTGCTGGATGCAGGATACGTAATGTCTGCAGCCTGGGAGCAAATGTTCAGGAGCAGGAAACCAGATATAAGCTTCAGGAAACATCGTGGGATTTTATCCTACAGGGATGTTTGATGTGAAGACGGTGGAGGAGGATGTGACGTATTCATACAACTTTAATTGTATACAGCTCCACACAAGTTAGCGGGCACTGTTGTAGAAGTGTGAGTGAATGAAGGTGTTAGAATAAATATAACCCGTGTGGGCAGGTAGAGAAAGGAAAACTAGAGTCAGGACAACAGTAACGGGAATGTCAGAAGGAATAACTGATGATAAGGTGGCTGTACACACTGATCCGGTACACAGAGGGATGGTGTCAGGGTAAGGACTGATATTCAGAGCTAGCACAGTGATCAGCATCCAGCTTTTATTATCACAGAGGGGGGGGGG